GGGAAAGAAAGCATATAACAATCAGCAAGAAAGTGTAATGTTAAGCAAAGACCCAGCTCCCTTACCAAGAAAGGAAGATAAATATTGTTCTTCCCTCTTCCAGGAAACGCTGGAACAAAGCTGTCACAGATGTGTCACTAGGAACCAAAATAGGTGAGGAGAGAGGTTATGCTCAAGATGGGGCAGGAGGTGAGGGAAAAGAGATTGCTGTGCTACGGGCAAAGAACTTCACAAAGAAATAAAAAAAAAAAACCCAAACAAAACAACAACAGAAATGCAAACAAACAAAAAACCTGCACTGCAAAGCCAAACAAAAACACCCACACAAGTAGGTAGAAGTTTCTACTCAAAGATCTTGGTAAAAACATCTGACAATAACATAACAACTAATGGCATTATACTAGAAGTTTTAGTACTGAGGAGTTAAACACCATTGTCCAAATTTAGCAAGAAATAGCTCCTACTTGCGTATGAGGTCACAGCTGGATATTTCAGACGCTCCTCTTAGATAACAAACATTGGTCTAAGTAGACTGAAAAAGCATCTGAAACAACATCATCTACCTTTACTGAGTCTTCCACCTGATGTGCTTTAAAAGAATACCAGCTAGTACCCCATTTAGTGAGCTTCTTCACAAAACAGCCACTAGGTCAAGCAAAAGAATGTTTGGCTTATGATCCTCAGGGTTCAAGGGAAACAACCCAGGTTGTTCAGTCTTGGCAGTATCAAGACACTGCAGGGCTTTAACACAGAAGTAAAGATTAAATTCCTGAGAATTTTAATATCAATCTTGAAGTTTCTATTGACTATAGCTTAGGGATACAGAAACTGTATCCCTAATTCTAAGTATACATGAATATCCTTATTCTAAATTCTAAGGCATTTCATCAAGGCTACAGTCTTCTCTGAACTAGCTTTCAAGCTTTCTCTTCCTAACCTCCACCCTAAAAGGTATAGGCAAACTTAGTTTTGTGTTCATACCATATTCATCTTGCATTTTTGCAGTTGGTTCAGTTATGAGACAAGGAAGAGCTGTAAACACCGGCCATAGTCACATAATTTCTATTACTAAGATAAGCTTTCTTAAGTGTCTCTCAGGATAGGGCAACAGTTAAAACGCAGTCTGTGAGATTATGAGCTCAGAAATGCAGTCTGTGAGATTTTCATCTCAGATACATCCCTCCCCACAGTCCCTTCCAGGATTTAGAGGACATTTTATGGCACTATTTTCGCAGGCTTGGGAATTGTGAGCAAACAGACTGGCTTGGTTTGTTTTTACCACAGTCAAGGAAATAATTCTTTGAAAAAAAAGTACAAGTGATCCATAGAAAATTATGACACATCTTCAACTTCTCATGGAAACTAATGAGTAAACTCTAATTACTGTTTAAAATAAGCTCAAGAAGTCTACAAATTTTTAAAAAGTAACAATAGGTAAAAAATTCAACATGACGGTAGAAGGCTTATTGGCAGGCAGTGAGATTATTTGCAATGGCAAATAGGTTGGCTTCTACTTCACCTTTACAAGTTAAGAACTGATGTCAGAGATCACTTAGGGTGGGTTTCCGCTTTTATGCAAGACTTGCTTTCCAATGAGCCTTATTATTATACTTCATGGATTATTGCTGTAACCACATTATATGTGAGTAGTCTAGTCAAAGTTTGACTGCACATCAGCATACACAGAATACTATGACACATCTAAAAGGTTGTCACTCTTAAAGATGTAGTACAAAAGGTAAGAAGTGACCTCAGACTACTGTTAGTATTAATTTTAATATTTCCTTATTATTTGAAAAGTATACCTTTTTGTATTACATTTGCTTAAGAAATAAAGATTATTGATATCAAGTCCAAGTACAACCAATGTGTGAAAACAGATTATGGAAACATGTACTGCTCAAAATCACATTGCCCCAAATGCCAGTCTATTAAATGAACAAGCTTGTAACGTACACCTTAAAGCTTATTGACAAATATAATATATTATATTTGAAAAGTATACCTTTTTGTATTACATTTGCTTAAGAAATAAAGATTATTGATATCAAGTCCAAGTACAACCAATGTGTGAAAACAGATTATGGAAACATGTACTGCTCAAAATCACATTGCCCCAAATGCCAGTCTATTAAATGAACAAGCTTGTAACGTACACCTTAAAGCTTATTGACTGGTTAGGAAGTTAGCAAAGCGAAAATACTGTCCATGTTGCATTACAGGATAGTCATCATGTTGCTTACTACATCAGATAGAAATTTGGTGAGATGTCAGCTCTCTTCTCACTTGCACAGTCTACTCTGACATTCAATATGAAATCACCACTCTAGTATTTGGTGTTATAGAAATGTTAATGCTTTAATAGTTCAGAAGTGCTGTCAGAATCAAGTACGTTACATGCACAGTCAAGTTATAAGTACAGCAGGTATCATAATACAAAACAAATTAAATCATTAAAGGCATGTATCCTTCAATGTTGCTTCGGTATTTGAATTCAATTGAATGCAAGGCTTCAGGTTTTTCTGATAAAATATGTTCTATTGTCAAGTATCCAATTTTGTACAGCAATATTTAGTAAGAGCACACGGGAAAAGACTTAAAATACTGGGTTGCTTAAAAGAACATCTGCACTATAGAAGTTAATGGAATTTCAACAGGAGTTGACTCAAGCTGTAATGCATCATATGAATCAGAAAATTAAGAATGAGTTTTTACAGTTTTCCAAAATAAATCTTAAATATTGAGAACACCAAGGTGTACAACAACAAAACAAAATCCAGTGTTTCATACTTATTCAAGCATGTACAGTAAATTAACACTTCAAGCTATATGTGAAAAAACACAGCCTAGTTTATACAACAGACTGATTTTTGGGGAAGCAAATGCGATTGACTAGTTACCAAAAATACTTTACACACAAATACATTTAGACCTTGAAATGATGATCAAATTGAACTACAGCAAGTGTACTTTATCACCCATGTACACTAATCACCTTGAGTTTGTTGTGTGGGTCTGTTTTTTTTGTTGTTGTTTTTAAATAACAGACATTTAAAAAAATAATGATTTACAAAAATACTGCTAATGGCTCACATTTCTACCACCTCAATACCTTCCTCTTCTTTTGAGCTTTTCTACCATCTTGGCAGTATTTCCAGTAGTTTTTTGAGTAACTACATGCTGCTCAGGCTCCTTTTGCATAAGATCCATTGATAATATGGTCTGACTCAGTTCGCTGATGTATGTCAAACCATTTACATTCGAAAGCTTCTGGTTCTGTGAAATGGTTGAAAAGGCTTTTTTAAGGCCCACATCAGTATTGGTGGCTTCTGTTTATTTTTTTCTGGAAATAGCACCGCTTCAGTTTCAGGGGTAGGAAACCGTACTCTATACACTTCAGGGTAAGATTTCTGAAACTAGAAAAATATATCAATTTAAATGAAGAATTCACTCAAACTTGTAATATTAAAAACTATTAAAGGGCAACCTCCACCTCTGGAGCAGGAAAATCTTTATTTCTCTAATGGACTTTCTATACATCTATACAGAAAATTAAGTAATATTTTCTAATATGGCTTGATTCATCACAACACCCCTATTCTAAATGATTAAAATGTTAGAAATACCCAACAGTACCTACTATTTTAAATCTCAATATTTCTCTAGAGGACTACATGTCTAAGACTTAATAAAGCTTTTAAAGTTAAAAGTAAAGACTAGGAAGAAGTTTTTATTTACTTGCTTCAGCTGCTTCTTCTTATCTTTCACAGATATTTCTTTATTCATTGCAATTTCTTCCAATAAAGCTTCCAGTGGTTCTTGAGAGCCAGTTGCCCTTTGGTATTCAAATTCATCTGTACTGATTTGGTGACAAAATGATGGAGGAGGAAAAGTTGCATCAGTATCAGCTCCAGCATATTTTATCTAAAGAAAAAGTAAAAAAAGAGCAGTTATATTTTCTACAATGAATTTGTAAAAACTAGCTTAATCAAATTGACCACCTAAACTCATTAAGTAGAGAAGGTAGGAGGTAGGATTTTGGGTTTTTACTCCTTATCTCCTGCACTGAGTGAGTTCTAGTACGTAAAAAAACATGACACAATGGAAGCCTGTTTAACTCTTGGAAAAGGTTAAAAGTTATTTTTTCTGTAGAAATTAAAGAAGGAAGAACTAAAAAGCAGCTTTAAACAAAACAAAATGGTATCAGGAAATGGAAAGAGTTATGAAAAAGCTGAGCAAGTAAGGATAACTCTAAAAGAAAAATCAGGAAATTAATGGAAACACCTTTTAACCTTTCACAGTTAGTGAGGAAAAATTCCATGAGCCCACTCCATGGAGAAGATAGTGCTGACAAACAGGAAAACATGTTTTAGAGTTTTTGCCTCTAAACCATCCCAGATCTCTTTACTTCATTTAAATACATAATTATGGTTGAGTATCAGCAGTCAAAATTAATTAGCTCTTCATAAGCTAGCAGAGACAGAACAAAGTCTTTAAGAACCATTGAACTTCAAAGCAGAAAGGATAAATTCAATCTAGAAACACAGCGACATAGGAGGCTTTTTTCTCTAGATACCTACTTGTACTCTCTGGAGATGTACAACATGTTCCTCTATTGAAGATTTTAAGGTTGAAGGAACACTTAAGATCTCTTGATAATTGTCCATGAGAAAAGATACTAGTTTAGTAGCTAGCAGTTCATCCAAGTCCATCTCATCCTTTGAGCAGAGAATACAACGGGAAAATGCCTGAACCATCTGAGAAAAAACATAATTTTTATTGTATATTTTTCTGTTTGGGGGTAGAGAATCAGACTGTATTTAAAAAGAGATCTTTTAGAAAAAAAGATTTTTAAAAGTACAATATTTACTGTACTTCCAACACATCAATATTAAAAAAAAAGTATTGTGTACAGTGAAATTATGAGTAGATTGAAGATGGCTCTTACCTCATATACATAATCTAACCCTGACTTTAGATTTAGGATGTCTGAATTCCATTTTATTCTCAAGACTTTGTCAAATAGCCGCCTCACATGGCTTTTCCAGTTAAACAGGGCACACATCTTTGAGATATTTTAAAAATCACACAGGAATTTAATAGAAGTTAAGCACCAGAGGGAAACTGGTGCTTAAATTATCTTTAAATCATCAAACCAAGTTTCAGGTCCAGCTCACTTCATGTGGTCTCATGCTCAAGCATTAAGTTATAAGAGTTTTCCATCTGTGCACCAGTCATTTTTAACATTAAAAGCACTGAAGGCAATCAAGATTTCCTATCATGTACCATAGACTACACTGCTGAACTAAAACTTAGTACAAAATACTTGGACTGTAAAGGATTCACATCTAAAAATAACATTTAGATTATAACATAATTATTTTAATCAAAGACCATTTACAGTAAATTAAATTATAACCTTAGCAGACAAGAATTTGATTATTTTAATCAAATACTATTCACAGTTAATTAAAAACATAATTGCTATGGAACAAATTTAGATTTATGAATGCTACTATAGGATTTTTAGGGAGTGGCTCTCCAGATGAGTTTTCTGCTGCCCTTCTTGCAAAAGACTTGAAAACTAACCAAAAAACCCACGTGTTCTTAGCCAGTTGGAATTGCTAACAGTTATGCCTAATAACTTTGTAATAGCATGCTGTTGCAAACATCAGCAATAACTCTACAATTAGCCCTACAGCAAGGGCATTAGCAAAAACTAGACCTTTGTCAAAATCTGATTAAAGTTACTTTCAGAGATATCTGTAGTTTAGCGATTAAAAAAAAAAATACTGAAATAAACTGGTAAGAATTTTTTTTTTAAATGGCCAAAACCAGGTAAATCAAAACATTCAGCTACTTATTTCTAACTATGACTGCAACAGGCAGTCTGTTTCTCTCACACTGTCTGCAGTGATAAAGAGCACCAGAGACCTCATCTACTGTATTTTATTTTTTTTCTACTCAATAGTGAAATCAGTGATTATTTAACTTTGAAAGATAAGGAAACCTCCAAATTCTGAGCAAATTCTTTATTTGCTCACAACTTACCAAGAAATTCCAATTCATTCAAGTTCAGAGTAGCTTTCCATGTAGCTAGAATAGAAAAACCGTTCTTCAAACAAGCTAACTGTATTTTGTATACACACTCCAGTAAGAATCTCTTCTTTATACTACTCCAAAAGCCTTGTCTAGACTTTTTGCCTTACACTATACATACCAAGATTCTGGTCCTCACTGATTCAGAAAGAGGTGGCAAATCCTTGTTAAAGCTAATTCTTGCCATCATCCTCACCAACAGCTGTAGTCTTTTCCGATTTTCTGGTGGCAGCAGGAGACAAGATATCTGAAGAGCCTCTACAGCCTTGCTGTGCTTTTGCAGCAGACCTGGTTTATACAAGATCAGGAGATTAGGCAACATTTCTCAATTATATATTTCCATAACATTTAACATAACATTTCTAAGTCTGTCTCCTCAAATTCCTTTCCTACTCATTCAAGACTGCCTTAGAACTCCACTCCCCAAAGAGTCTAGGAAGGTATCCCTAGAACTGTACACACTTCCCACTGGGCACTTTAAGTATTTATAAGATTTCCTTCTGATGCACTGGGAGATGCTAATAACCATAGCCAACAACTCTAGATATTAGTAGACATGAAAACTATCGTGTTTTGGTTCATCCTTTGCTCTCTTATAACCCTCAGCTCTAAACATAACTGAAATATATGCACAAATGTAGCAACCACATAAAAATTTAAGTCTGGGGCAACCATCAGTGAATCTAAACAAAACATGTGCTTTTACATCAATGACAGCTATGACAATACTGACATGACCTTCACACCTGTAGAAGTTAAAACTGTGCCTAATTCTACTTACAAACTCTTGAGAATGTGAGTATGGCAGAGAAATTTGAAGACTAGATAAGCACAGTAGAATCTGACAGTGGTTTAAGTACCTATAAAGAGGTCTCATCACCAAAATGTCATCCTCTTTTGGGTTTCTAAAGCTCAGTGAAGGAAGCATCTACTACACATTTGCCTAAATAATACTAGTATCAGAACAAAACAGAAATCAGGAGCAAAATATTTGCATGACTGAAGTCTTAACAGTAATTTCTCTTAAAAAGAGAACAAGGAAGATGAAGGAGATACTTTCTCCCCCCCCAGCATTAGAGGGGAAGGGATCTCTGGAGATTATCCAGACCTCTGTCCCTTCTTAGAGCAGGGCCATCTACAGTAAGATGTCCAGGACTATATCCACTCAGGTTTTGAATATCTCTAAAGATGGAGATTCCACAGCCTCTCTGGACAACTCTTCCAGTGTTTGACCACCTTCCAATTAAAAAAGGTATTTCCCTATGTATAAAAGAAGTTTCCTGTATTTCTGTTCATGCCCATTGCCTCTTGTCCTGTTATTGGATATCACTGTTTGAAGTCTGGTTCCCTCTTCTTTACTCCTCCTACATCAGTCTTTTATACACATTAATAAGATCCTCCCTGATCTCCCCTGATCTGCCTTCTCCTCTCCAGACTGAACAATCCCTGCTCTCAGCCTCTCCCCATATGACAGATGCTCCAAGCCCTTAATAATTTTGTGGTCCTCCACTGGACTCACTCACTAGTGCTGAGGAAACGTCTCCCTCAACCTGCTGGCAATACTCTTAGTGCAGCTAAGGATGCTGCTAGTCGTCTTTGCCACAAGGACACACTTCTGGCTCATGGTCACATTAGTGCCCACCATGACTGCCAAGTCCTCATTAAAGGTGCTTTCAAGTCAGTCATCCTCAGCATGCACTAGTGTATGGGGTTATCCCTCCCTAGGAGACGACTTGGCATTTCCCTTTGTTAAACACTATGAGATTCATGTTTGCCCATTTATCCAGCTTGTCAAGGTCCTCTGCACATTGGTACAACCCTCTGCTGCATTAAGCGCTCTTCCCCATTCTGTACCATCTGCACACTTATTTAGGTCACTTTGTCCTTGTTTAGGATAGATTGTCCCACCATCCAGGTCATTAATGAAGTCTTCACTACTACTGGCCCTGTTATTAGTCCTGGGGTACTCCCTATTGACTGACCCCTGTCTGGACTTTGTGTCACTGATCACAACCCTCTGAGCCCAGCAATTCAAATTCTGGTCTATGTCACTACCCATTTATTTAGCCTGTACTTCCTCAGTTTGCCTATAAGGCTGTGATGGGAGACAGTGCTGAAAACCTTACTACAGTCAACATAAACACCATCCACTGCTGTCCCCTCATCTACCATGCCAGTCAATTCCACACGATATAAAAAGTGGAAGCTGTTTGTTTTTAAAAAAAGACCAGAAATGTGCAGTAGTAAGGCAGCCAAAACAGACAGTATTCCAAGAAAAGTGTGGTAAAGCATTGTAGTTAATTTCATTTTCAAAGCAAAGCTTTTTCTAATTTCAAAGGAAGATTTAGGAAGCTTTAGAAGAGACCCTGAGAAATAATAATTAACCTTAATGAGATTTGTACATAAAGAATCATTATAACCTGTGCAAAGAGCAAGATTAATTTTACCAAATTGATAAAATATCTGATGATCACTGACACCTTTGTCCTATTTCCTTAGCTATTCTCAAATGTAACCATAAAACGTAATCAAATATTTTCATATTTATTGTCTTTCAACGGGCCAACTATAGCTACAGGATAGGTGAATTTGATATAGTGTGAACCCTTAAAAAGTTAATTAATAATTAAACTATTGTTTCTTTAAAGCACTAGATTAGTTAATATCTACTCCAAGTTAAACAATGAAGGATTTAAATTTCCTTTAGATGTCATATTGCCAGGGTTAAAAACAGTTCTTACAGCCCTAATCCTTTTTAATCTAGACTTGAGTCAAGCGATTTCTAAAAGCTTAAAAACTCATATAAGATGCTTAGGCATTTGTAAAAAGGATAAAAATCTGTTAAAATCCATCTGTTAGGCACGGCAGTGCTAAGCAATGAACAGAGGCCTTTAAAAATTATAAAAGCAAGCATTGGAAGACTTTTCGACTAATGTCAAAAAGACACAAGAATAAAATTGCCTTGTGTTATGAATACATTTAAATATTAAACTGTTTTCTATATAGAATGGACAGGACACATCCTAAAAAAATGAGCTATGATACTATTTTGGTATGGTAAATTAATTCCAAGAAGTTAATTCAGAAGAATAATTTTTTATTACATCCCAAACTACTTACCTAACACACTAACAAAAACATCAAATAAATGAAATGTGAGAAGAGGTTCCTTCATTTGGCCAAAGTAGTCCACTATAGTTTTGAAGACATCTCTTTCAAATCCCGAGTATGTAGGCTGCTTCAAATCTGAGCAGCTGGGCCCTACAAAGTTATTTAAAAAAAAAAAAAGGAGAGAGAAAGTTAATTTGCAGCTACCAACCAGATCACTGTTTTCTAGTCCAGCCAATAAAAATGCAAATCCAAACCAAACCTTAGACCCTTTCTTCAAAATGTAAGTGAAAATGTATTGATCTATTGAATTAATCTATTTCCAATGGGTTTAGTGAAAACATATAGTAGAAGAAAAATATTAATAGTTAAACATTTCTATATTTAATTGAAGTAAGCTGCACTGTAAGGAGAACGTGTGCTGGAAGATATTTTCCAACTTTGTTCAAAGCAATAATCAGAAAAAATATTGACTCTGAATATAAATGGGATTTGATGAAGCAGTAAAGGCACAGTCAGTTCAATTGATTTTCACAGGGGTAGGTTATTTGGGTTTCTTTTCTCCTTCTGAATTTACTTACAATTTGCTAGACATTTCATTGCTGATAATATCCAGTGAGGTAGTTCCTCTGCATAGGAGAGAAACAGACAGAAGTTAAAAGGAAAAAAAAAAATGGAGTAAAATATTAAACTGTAAGATAAAAACAAAGCTAAAAACTCTTTAAGAAGTTCCTGTTATACAGTAGATCGACTGATTGCAAAGGCAGGCTATACCTTTGTGTAGGTTCTAGCTTGAATTACATCTGTACTTTAGTGCCTCCAGTACTCAATATCGATCAGTTACACCTACTGCTCTTATAACTCAATCAGCAAAATGGATCATATTGCAAATTCTCAAGCTGCCCTGCAAAAATCAGCCAAACTAGTTCAAGCTACACCTTCACTAGTGTATTACAGTGAGGTGTTTACTTTTGCACTGAAGATGATGAAAAGCACTCACACATTCAGTTCTGTCATTTCTACAAGGTGAAAAGTGGTATCTTGAGGTGCTCCAATTGTCTTTAAAACGAATTTTTGATTTCATTCACAAACCAAACCAGGTTACAATCTCATATTTCACTTCTCTACAAATCTTGTGGAAAACATGGTGGCAATAATATTGAAAGTGATATATCACAGCAGCAAAGATGCTTTGCTTTCTCCTTGATATGCAAAGCAGTTTTAAATGCAGTACTAATTTCAAAACACATTGACTGAAAACTCAAAACTGAGAAATTCTAAGCATCTCTCAGTGTACATTTTGAGTCTTTCCCAATTTTTCATACACATTTCCCTCGTGTAGACACTCCAGTTCAGGCAGTTAAGGGCTGGTCTGACAAAGCCAGCTTGAAGCGAATAATATCCCTATCTTTATAGATGAAAAGTTGCTGCTCTTTCACCTTCATCTTTGAACCCTGTTAAAGCAAGAATATGTTTAAGAGGGTAAATATGGAAGAATAGACACTGAGTCCTACTATTGGGATGGCAGAGGACAACAGTGGCATACTTTGTAAAAACTCTAATATAGATGTGGTCATACAAGTATAAGGATGCTACATATTAGTATAGATTAGAACTAATACTTTTTTTATACTAGTAAACTACAATATCAAAAAATTAAATTAAAACTTCTAAAATACTCACTTGATTTGTCTTCTAAAGTGACAATACCTAGCTTATTGACATTGTACGCATTTTGGACTATATGCTTTGAATTCACAAGTTTTGTGTCTAACACTTCATCCAGAGAATCCAAACCCAAGACCTTCTGTAACCTGTAAAAACACATAAACCCATAGTTCATACATCATCTAATGTGAAAAAGGTAAACGTTGTATTAGGATAGGTATGATTCTGAAAGAGACCTCTCTATTTCATAGAATTGTAGAATATATCATGAGGGAAGGGATTCATAAGGATTATCAAGTCCAACTCTCTGCTCCTTGCAGGACATCTTAAAACTAAATTATATGACTAAAAGCATCATCCAGATGATCCTTGAACTCTGACAGGCTTGGTGCTGTGACCACCTCCCTGGGAGCCTGTTCCTGTCCCCTCCACCGCCCTCCATGAGGAAGCTACAGGCTGCAATGAGATGACCCCTCAGCCTTCTCTTCTCCAAGCTGAACAAGACAAATGTCTTCAGCTGCTCCTCCTAAGTTTTGCCCTCAAGACCTTTCATCATCTTGGTTGCCCTCCTCTGGACACACCCTAATAGTTTAATGTCCTTCTTACACCGAGGTGCCCCAAACTGCACACAGTACTTAAGGTGGAGTCACAGCCATGGGGTGTAGAGTGGGACAATCATCTCCCTCTACCAGGCGTCTATGCTGTGCTTGATGCACCCCAGGACACAGTTGGCCCTTTTGGCTGCCAGGGTACACTGTTGACTCAACCCAAGATGGCCTGAAATGTCTTTCTGCAGGCCTGTTCTCCAGCCTCTCGTCCCCCAGTTTGTACACGTAACCAGGGTTACCCCATCCCAGGTGCAGAATCTCGCACTTCCTCTTGTTAAATTTCATATAGTTGGTGATTGCCCAGCTATGTAGTCTATCCAGATCTCTCTGTAAGGCCTCGCTACATTCAAGTGAGTCCACAGCTCCTCTTAGTTTAGTACCAGCAGCAAAACTACTTAATGTACATTCAATACCTGCTTACAGATCATATATAAAAATATTAAAGAGCACTGGCCCTAAAACTGAGCCCTGTGGAACCCCACTGATGACCGGCTGCCAGCCTGATGTAACCCTGTTTACCATCTCTCTTTAAGCCCAGCCTGTCACTCAGTTGCTCAGCCAACATATTATGGACTTGTCTAGTTGTGTGCTGGACATTCTGTCCAGCAGGATATCATGAGAGACAGTACCAAAAGTTTTACTGCAATCCAAAATCACCACATCTACAGGCTTTCCTTGGTCAACTAGGTGGGAGATCTCATCATAAAAGGAATAAGTTGGTTAAGCAGGACTTTCCCCTCATGAACCTGTGCTGGCTATGACCAATGACTGCATTCTCAAGTGTTTTTCAGTAACTCCCAGAATAATTTTCTCCATAATTTTACCAGGTACTGAAGCAAGACTGACAGGCCCCTTATTACCAGGGTCTTCGTTTTTACCCTTCTTCAAAACTGGGACAACATTTGCTAGCTTGCAGTCAACTGGGACTTCTCCAGACTCCTAAGACCACTGAAAAATTATGGAGAAGGTCCCATGATGACATTGGCCAGCTCCATCAGTAACCTGGGATGACTCCTATCAGGCCCCATAGATTTATGCACATCCAGCTGGAGTAGCAACTCTCAAACAAGTTCAGAGTCAGCTGGGAGTTTATCATCCCCCCAGTCACAGTCTTCCAACAGAAGACTGGGAAGTTAAAATCTCCCATAAGGACAAGGGCAGCTGATCTAGAGATATCCCTTAATTCCTCATAGAAAAATTCTTCAGTGTCATTGTTCTGTATGGATGGTCAAGAGTAGACTCCCACAACAACATCTGCTTTATTTGCTCTCCCCTTCACCGTTACCTAAAGGATCTCAACCATATCATCACCAATTGTAAGCACTATACAATCCAACCTCTCCCTTGGTTGCCCATACAGCGCCACCCCCTTGCCTTGCCTACTCCTCTTGAAGAGCCTATAACTCTCCATCATGGCACACCAGTCACAGGACTCCTCCCACCAGGTTTCATTTATGCCAGCAGTGTTGTAGCTCTGGGACTGGGCCAAAGCTTCTAGGTCCTCCTCTTTATTCCTCGTGTTGCAAGCATTATTACAGAGACAATTCAAATGTGCTCCAGTGTAATCAGCACATTGTGGAGCAGACTGAAGGACCTCGCTAGCACACCATCCTTCAAACATTGGCATACTGCCCCCAGGCTTCTCTCTAGTGAGCCTGATTTTATGCATTTTCCCCTTCAAATCTAGTTTAAAGCTGTTTCAACAAGCCCTGCTAACTCATGCTCAAAGATCCTTTTCCCCCTTTGAGGCAGTTGTATCTTGTCTGTCACCAGCAGGCCTGGTGTCATGTAGACCAACCCATCATCAAAAAAACCAAAATTCTGCTGGTAACTCTAGTCTTGGAGCCAGGTATTGATCTGCCGGGTCTTCCTGTTTCTTTCCTTACCATTCCCTGTAACTGGAAGAATAGAGGAGAACACTACTTGTGGGTCTAGTCTGCATACTGGGCCTTCTGTTCCCCTCAGAAGAGGGTCTTATATGACAATGACCTGTCTTTTTTTCTCTATGGAAGTAGTTTCTGGTGGAAAAGGACCTGGGGGTGCTGGTTGACAGCTGGCTGAATATGAGCTGGAGGTGTGCCCAGGTGGCCAAGAAGGCCAACAGCATCCTGGCCTGTATCAGAAATAGTGTGGTCAGCAAGAGTAGTGAAGTGATTGTACCCCTGTGCTCAGCACTGGTGAGGCCGCACCTTGAATCCTGTGTTCAGTTTTGGGCCCCTCACTACAAGAAAGACATTGAGTTGCTGGAGCATGTCCAAAAAAGGGCAACAAAGCTGGTGAGGGGTCTGGAGCACAAGTCTTATGAAGAACAGCTGAGGGAACTGGGTTGTTTAGTCTGGAGAAGAGGAGGCTGAAAGGAGACCTTATTCCTCTCTACAACTTCCTGAAAAGGGGTTGTGGTGAGGTGGGTGTTGGTCTCTTCTCCCAAGTAACTAGCGATAGGACGAAAGGAAATGGCCTCAAGTTGCCCCAGGGGAGGTTCAGCTTGGAAAATTAGGAAAATTAGGAAAAATTTCTTCACTAAGAGAGTGGTCAAGCATTGGAACAGGCTGCCCAGGGAGGGAAGTATACACCATCTCTGGAGGTATTCAAAAAATGTGTGGATTTGGGACATGGCTTAGGACGCATGGTGGCATTGGGTTGATGGTTGGACTTTATGATCTTGAAGGTCCTTAATGATTCTGTGATTCTGTGTGATTCTGTGAAAGGTGAGTGTGTAAAGTTACAAGCTTTACTACACAGTTTTACTCTAACAGCAAATGACTCACAAATATACTGACCGTGACAAAGTCATGGATTTCCATATCTCTTCTATATTTGTTTGCGTTAGCTCTCTGCGGAATACAAGTTTGCATGCTGGTACTTCCCCTATAGCTATACTATGGCGCTTGTACCACATCTCAGAGTTCTGAAATCAGAAAAAGTCCTCCTCATTAACTAGTGATTTTTCAAGTATTAAACAGTATCAGACATTTATAGTACAGTATGCACCCTATTACGAGTATTTTAAATATTCCTAAATTCCAGTAAAGTCTCCAGGATACAAGTGAGTATTTAGGTTTCACAGACATGCAGCATCTTTTCTCAGTACAAAGCTGAAAAATTATGTGTGTCAGAGTAGCCATTAAAATTCAGGAGTCAATGGCCTCTAGTCCTGTGTTCAGATTCTCTCCATGATTAAAATCAGTTCAATTCACTTGTTTTCAACTTCCACTTTAAGATTAAACATCTGCATATGAAAAATTATTGGAGAATTATTAGATATCAAAGACTGATGTTCATCTTTGTTCAGCATATATTGGTCATAACTAAACATTAAGTTAATTAGCAGGTTCTATACATGACAAAAGTAAAAACAAATAGCTACAGCTGAAGATATCCATCATATCTAGGCCACCATTATAACAGAATAAAGTAAAACAGAAAATGCAAGAGACTACTGTCCTTTATCAACCTTCACAGATTGCCACCAATGTGTCGAAGGGTGAGCATACAATACAGTGTGTGTCAGCAGTTTACTTTTCAAGGCAAAACTCCTAATCATCCCGAGTTCTTTGATTTACATCACAGAGCAGTCCTAAAATACATAAACAGTATTCCTTGTGATCACAACCAAACTACAAAACGCACTCTAGGAATGCACTTAATTAGTCCACCACTAATTGTCTGTCATTCCATGACACTAGACTAGAGCTAGTCTGAAACAAATAGCACTGTCTGAAATTAATATCTGGTCTTCCACATCAGTATTTCACTACACAAACCCATGCCCATCAATACACACACAGCCAATAAGTGCTCTGATTAATGCTGGAGCAATTTAAGGTGCCACCACTTTCAGCTGCCTGTCTACTTTATCCTTCCAGTGGCAGCTACGCTTTTATAGAAAAGAGCCAGAAGCAGCTTATTCCTTTGCTTCAGTTACTTCAACTTACAGTCCACTGTATTAATCAAAACTGCCAATGAAAAAGATTTTGAGCTATGCCAGACTGTATGGTGCTGCTTACGAGTCAGATGTATATAGGGGCAGTGTCTTGCTAACTCTTATCAGGCCAGGATGGTTGGATGGAAATTTAGAGCAGATGGTTGGAAACTGTAACATATTAAAACTGCAGCAGATACTTGCTCAGTAACTAAAATACTCTGTTCTCTTTGGCACTATCTTTTCTTTCTTCCATCTTAATCTGCTACCTACTATTAAGTTCTAAGGACAATGTTTTTTCCTCTTCAGAAGCCTGCTGTACATGAAAGGTGCACTCAATCTGCACATAAGTAATTAGATTACAAATACGGAATAACCATTCATTCAGGATCTCTAGATGTCCAGCAAAATGGTAGGAGCTGCTTTTCCAATCAGCCTATTGATCACCAAGAAATCCAAAGCTAGTGTCCTGCACTGATAAGCATTAATAAAAATGCCAAAATTGTCAAAGAAGTCCCAAGAGTTCACAGAATATGAGAACACTCACATACAAGATAACTGGAGGAAGGGTTTAAAATACACATAACTGCAGAAGCCTAGGCTTTTAAGACATCCAGGTGGCCAGAGTTGATACAGTTTTGGTTTACCAATAAAAGCAACAGTTTTTTCAATAACTTTACAAAGGCTGGATCAATCCAGCTAAGTGTGGGGTTGGATGATGCTCCAAGCTCACAAAGGGTAACAATGAAAGCAGGACCACTTCTCCTTAGCCACAACATATTCCTTATGAAATGGAATCACTAACAACCACAGAGCAGCTAGGAAGGGAGTAGTACCGTATATATTCTGCTACATGAAGTGTCTGAATAAGTGTTACACTGTAAGTGACAGTAAAACAACTAGTTTGTCTTGTAGTATAATAAATGCCCTACTGGAATATGAACAAACTGGAATGCAAGTATACTGGCAAATACAGCCATGGTGAACTCAGGATGCGCAGGACATCATAATCTGTAGTGGAAAGAACACTCAAAGTCAACATCCCCAGCAAATCATTAAGAACATCTTTACTTAACGTAAGTTTAAAATAGAAGTATTTTGCATTTAATTTTATAACCAGATATTTTGTGTCACAACAAAGAGATCATTAGTTCAGTTTTGTTTTACAAACATGCTTACATCTGGGGAAAGGAAAACTGGATATCTTACCATTGTGAGCGATTTCACTGGGATGTGCTCTTGGGAAGTGCCAGCCTTCGGTTCATCCCAGTCTGGAAATTTAATGACTTCCTTTCCACATGAGAGTTTCTTTGGATATGGCTTCAGTGGCGAGGAAGGAGGAAATCTACAATTAGAGAATATTTTAAAGCCTCTGAATTCCACCCTATTCCATATTTACCAATGCAAATCTGTAATAGGCCTTCACATGCAAAAATACAACAAATGCCTTAGACATTCACAGTGCGACTTAGGTGCCTGAAGATTGGTATTGAGTGACAAGTAAAACACACTAAGGTGTCTTTTTTGGCCTACATCTGCTACTCCAGAACGGTTCAGGTCCTTTGTACCTTCCATGACACAGCTGAGGCTTGGGTAAACATCTGATATCCCAGTGCACCTCAAATACCAACAGCTGCCTATGCATTGACAACTGACTTAGGTCTTCACTAGAAGACATTGATTCTGCTGAGAAAGCTGTGGGTAGATTTTCCCAATGTTAAGTGCACTGCTAGCATGCGTCTCCTAAAGCAAAGCTACCTAAGTCACATGACTAACACTTGGATTTAATTAGTGCACGTGCAAGCATCCACACACAGTTTTGTCCACATTACCATGTTCTTCTGTGCTTACATGCTTTCTATGCGAAGTTCATATCCTGCAGTTCTTTTCTGGAGTCTTTTTCCAGCTGTTTGTTCAGGAAACTTACTCACTTTTTAAGGCATTACAAGAAGTGTCCTGAAGAAATTAGCAGAAATAAACCCTAAGCTAGCCCTTGCAGAAAACAAGGAAAATAAACTGTCCCAGATCACATTCAGCTCAGCCACATCTCCAGCTTCACCAGAATTAAATTGTTGCTAAACGTAGTCAAAGCATATACCAAGGAGTTAACAGCAGCACATCAGAAAGACAAATCAGTTTGATGGCAACGTATCACCAGACGAGCCCAGATCAGATCTTTTTTACCTGCACTCCTAGGTTTTAGACACTGCGATTCCTGATGCTTCAAGAAATTGCTTCAGTCTCACTCACTCTTTTAATAAGAATGTAAGAGAGAGTTATGTCTGTGACCATGCAACAAGAGCTTGTACACTGCTGGATAGCGTGCATCTACCAGAAAGATTCTCATGCTCAAGAAATCCTCAAGTTTTCTCTAAAATTTCACCCCATCTTCTCAAGGCAGTTCAAACATTTAGTTTTTAAATTAGTTTTGTATTGCAGTTTTGTTAGTCCAGTAGTGTTACACTGCATGGGTTAAACACGTTATGGTTTTGACCACACACACTGAGCCCATTTGGTATATTCCAAAATGCTCTTCAATAGAATCCCTGCAACGCAGGGAGATATCACTTCCTTCGGACAAACCCTGAAGAGGAGTAATAAGCACCCCGCATGACTTACTCTGCCTTTTAAAAGTAACCCAGATTACATTGCAGATGTTGAGCATTCTTAACTATTTTTCAGCTATTTGTTACTTCTCAGAGTTTAATGTTATAATATCTGCAGCCTTTTTTTCCCCCCTTTGCCTTGCAGTATTCACAACGGTTCCCTGTTTCCCCCGCAGTTTCTCACAATCTTTAGCTTTATGTCATTTGCTGCCCTGATTCTCAACCAACCAGTAAAGGAATGAGTTCTTAAAGGCAGAAGGAAAGAGGTGCATTCCCCTTTTTCAGGTAACATTACAGCAAGATCTAAATAGATCCAAGTTTATGGATGAACAGTGAAAAACCTCTGATTTTATGATGAACAGAATCATGTTACTCAAAGCTAGCGACTGAGGAGCATTTCAAGGCTGACATGTCAAGATTAGCATGGTTTACAGCCAGCAACACTAGTTTTAGGAGTTTATACAAGGAGGAAATGGAGATACCCATTTGTGTCTGGGGCAATGGATAGAGAACAGGGTCAATTAACATTGGTATTATTGGTATAGCAAGTACCACAGCTGAATTCCCAGAAGTTTACTAGCAATGCAAGAGTACTAACCCTTTTGTTTTTAGTACAATTGCTTAGATTCCAAAAAAATAGTAAAACCTGACAACTTCCAAAACTGTAACTTCTTGTTTGTTATTGCAGACTACACTGAGACAGTAAGTCAGGACATGTAGACAGATAATCTTTGTTATTTTTAGAAGCCACACTAGTTCTCACCTTCACATTTAATAATTTCCCAATACTCTCAGGCAAATCAACATGTGGCAACATCTCTTGCATACTCTGTGGAGTGAACAAGAGCAGACAACTACACTCACACGCAAAGTTAATGAATGACAACTGTGCACTGCAGCATAGAGTTACAGTAAATTGACACAGGAATGTATAGAAAAATGTATGAAGTGTATCCAGGTTTCCAGAGTAAGCCTTGTCAATGGAATTAAAAGTGCTTGTACTGCTACCCATATTAACATGGTGAGAAAAGTATTTGCAAAGTAACATTAGGAAAGTCCACCAGAGGGAGCTACTAGGATAGTAAATACATGAATAAAGGTGGGCTGAAAAGCAGTTGTTTAGCTCCTTAAGTAGGAGAAAAGCATAAAGCCAAACACCAAAACCATGAGTAACATACATAGTTTATTAACGTGCCAAGCCCAGTGGGAAAAAGCTGGCTGCAATTCAAGACACATGAAAGGTATGCAGTTTTAGTAAAAAAACCCTGTTCAATTAGTAACTTTGTTATCTTTAGAATGGGAAGTGGAGAAAAAACATCATTAAGATAGCTATAACAAAAGAGCTATCTTGTCCAATAGCAGATCATTAGGCAGAGCACATAGAAAATGAAAAGTACAGAAGTATTTCACCCAAACAACTTCCACAGCCTGCAGCTTCCCACAGCCTGCAGCTCATTAAAGTCGTGGCTGAAAATACAAAGGAGAAAAGAACATAATAATCTGAATGTGTCACAATGCCAATGCAAAACAAACCCAAACCACAACCACACAAACACAACAAACCCAAACCAAAGAGATATAGCATAACACCAATTGTTACCAAAACCCATATTTAATATTTTGACAGAGTCAATGCCCAGAAAGAAAGGAGGCAAAGTACTTAACACCTATGGCACCAACAAATAAAAAAAAACCAAAAACATGCTGTTAGTGCTGCCCTAAGAAGAATAGACAGAGCAGGACTGGGCTAAGAACACACAGAACCAATAACACACGTACCACTATGTGCTGTACCAGCACCTAAACTGCTTTTCTTACTCTGTTTAAAGAAGTAAAAAAACCCACTCCACACCACTCTTTTACATTTAACCTTCTTCAGTCCAAAGTCAAGACATAAGATCCTCTGCAGCTCTTGTCTTCCATGCCTGTTTTGCAACCTGCACTAGTCAATAGCTAGGCAAGCTATCACAATACCTTGCCCTTCTATAGCAGCTATAAGCAGATGGCCAGAGAAGAATTTAAGAACAGGACAAGCATAGATAATACTTCCTCAGCATCCTTTCCCAGCTTTTATTCATGTTCGGCTCACAGACTGCGGAGCCTTAATTGTTTTGAAATACTTAGCAACAGACTTTCTTGAGTGAGCTTCTCAAAATATCTTCAGATACAGGCCCTTTGAATTTGAGTCTCAAATTCCAAAATTTAACATTTTCCTTGATTAACTGTTACATGGAATTTACCTTTATGGGGCTAAGTTTAGAGAGAACATTCTTTTTTTATTCCCCACAAATTTTTAAAAATTTCTTCCATTAAAGTTGACTAAAATTGGTTTGAATATTTAACTTATTAGGCAAGGAGGCTGTAGCATTCAACGTTGTTTCCTTCAGAAGGCATGCTAAAAAGTGGCATGCTACCACTTTTACTGAAAGATGTCATGCAGTATCATAAAGAGCAAGTTGAATTGGTGTTAATTTGCTAGTGGAATTAAAACCAAATCTGATCCAATCTTATTGCAAATCAACCAAACTGCAGTGGAACAAGTTTAACATAAACCACGGTCCTTTTATGAGAAGGTATCTTGACACAAGTTTGTTTATGACAATGTAAAAGAATTACATCATACATACACCTTAAATTATTCCAAGTTAATAAAATTAGGAGAGTAATGAACAACTCTCTATGCACTTATACCAGAGGTGTACAGATTAGACAGGAAAAAGCTTAGGCACACTCTACAAACAAACTAGTTAAGATCATAGAGCAAAATGAAAATTTACTTCATTCATATCAAGTGGAAATTCAGAATTACATAAATTTTCCAAAAACAATTTAAGAAATCATCACACCACAAACATCCACATAAGATTTCTTTAAGTATATAATAATAGATATAATAGTAGAAACATAGCATTATCACTGACCTATTTCTCCTGCTGCTCTGCATGAAGATAGCTCCCGTTTCCTCAAAAGAAGACTCACCATGATGTAAGTTACAAACCCATACTTAAGGTAACGGTCATTTTTACACTATTTTTTCACTGAACAGGACACTAAAAGATGGTACAAATTCAGAACATGCAACTTTTGGACACCCAAAAGTTAACTGAGGCCACAAGAGGTCAAAGAACCCACTCCAGTAGTGCTAAGCTTTCATTACAAAGAAAATTCTTTTCCTCTGTTAATATGCCACCAGTTGGGAGGCCAAACAGGGATAAGTTAGCAAGCATCCTTGAGGATGCATGAATAAAACTTTATCTCTTTTAAGACTATTTCAATCTACAACCCAAGAAGTACAGAAAAAGGTTAAGTCATGAATAACTTTTAAATTCAGAAGGCCTTTCTCTTCTCTCAGGAGTAGAAGTAGCATCCAAAATAGTCAGGGGGTTGGGGGAAAGGGAGGACAACTAGAGTTGAATGCTCAGTGGCATCCTCACTTCCATCAATGTTTTCCTGATATACACACTCTTCCAATGCAGAAAAACCGAATCTCTACCAGTGGCAAACAGAACTCGCTACCTTGTAAAAACTGCAAAAGTTTTTGTTAGTATTCATAGAATGGAATTGAGTAAAAGTGCCTTTCAAAAATATTTAAAAACAAACAAAAAAAAAAAAAACCCCAAAAAAACCCCAAACCAAGCCAAACATTAAATCATAACAGTTGCCTATCACTAAAGAAAATAAAGTCTGTGAAAGGAATGGGGGAAGACACATTAACACCTTTTCAAAGGCATTTTACAAAAACATTTGTGAGACCAATGTGCAAGAATTGTTACTCCCTTTTTCCAAACACCAAAATTTTTCAGTCAACCTATATAAATTTACCTATATAAATGCCCATCATCTTGAAAGTCTTCTTTGCCCCATCTTCCTTTAATATCTTCAATAACATGATTTTTCAGGAATTTTTTGAGCAGCTTAACTGTTTGATTGCGAGTCACTTCTGGGCCAAAGTTTTGATTTGAGCCAAGCAGTTCATGCAAACAGTCCACTGCCTCCGAGGCTTTGAAGCAACGCTCGTAGCTTTTGAAGCGACACCGATGCTTCCGTAAAGGCATCCCAGCACGAAAAAGTTCTATTATCTCGTTCCACTAGGGAAGAAGAACAAAACAAACCGTTACGGGCGCTCTCCTAGAAGCATTTTAGTTATACAAAGCCAGATCAGAATGTAGCCAGATCTGACCGCAAAACTACATGCTTTCCTTATCATCTGCGTATACAAGCACACTGAAACCTAAAACTTCGATTTAAGCAGCTGAGATCTGAAAACAAACACCAGATTTAGGAAGCGGAAAGATCTAGAGGCCCATACTACCTACGGCTCTACGGATACAGTTTTAACCTCCCCCTGGCTTTTCACTTGACAAAAGGCTGGACTACAGCTCTGCTCCAGTCACGCGGGGCGCACAGGTCCCGCCACCCCACACAGATTCGGCGTGGGG